TTGAAATCTGCATGTCTGACTGGACACATTTCTCTCTCTGAGGTGTTGACAGTTTGACGAGTCCCCAAACTGTGTCTAGTATTTGTATCTGGATATGATCCGTGTCTATGGATGGGATTTAACTGATCCATTCACTTCCCCCTCGGTTTCTGCGTCACACCGTGTCAGCTGGTTAGGATGATGCTTTTCCTTGCCCAGAAGGGGGTCATCACATGGGGAATGTGATTCACTCTGGTGTCTGCTAAGCTCCTGGCATTAGTAGCTGGACTGGCAAAACTATGCCATAAAAACAGTGCCAGTCAATCTGCCCGTCTCGCTGATATTTCTGAGTGGAGCTGCTTCTTCTTACTGCCTAAATAAAACTTTAAAAAAAAGACACCTTTGCACAAAGAGGTTTGACTTGATGGAAATGAAGGTTGTCGAAACATTGGATACATTCAGGGTCCGAAATTAACTTTTTGACTCACCGGCCAAGGTGGCAGGTAGATGAAAAAATTCACCGGCCAAAGAATTTTTTTTACCGGCCAAAATAACAAATTTTGTTTTTGTGTCCTATACACATCTGTGTTTGTATGTTTTGTTTAATTTAAGTCACAGATTCGATCATGTCATCAGATCAGGAAATTGTAAAAAAATATATATTTGCTGGCCTTTATATTTTTCTTAATGTATTTGTAGGCCGTAGTAGTAGAGCTGCAGCTCCTGGACGAGCATAAACTTTAAAGTCCTGTCGTGGGATTAATCACACAGCCCTAATTATTAGAGCCCGACTGATTTATCGGCTAGCCCAAAATATATCTGCTGATATTTCAAGTGACTATTGGTATCGGCTACTATTAACGCAGATATGCGCCACGATATCACTAGATTTATTCACCAGTTAAATAACATTAAATTGGAGTTTCATTGTGTTATACTAGCAGTTCTCATTCACCAGCAGAGGGCGCTATATGGATTACAACAACCATCATCACTCTCCAGAGTGTCGAGCGGTGATTCACGTACATGCTCAGTTACTTTCCAGTTGAGTGAGCATCTTGTCTTCGCTTTAAATCTTTTCCACAAGTGTTTGATAACTTCATTTTAAGGATCAACCCAATAAATTTGTATATCTAGATAAATAAACCCTAGAAAGATATCGGCATATATAACGGTGTTTTGTATTTTTATCCTCACCAAATTCGATATCGGCTCCAAAAATCTCATATCGGTCGGCCACTGCTACTTTTTGATTCTAAAGTCTTTGTGATAAAATCTGGGTTATTTTCACACTTTAACTAAAAGCTGCTGCAAGCAAAGGAGAACGTACTTTATCATCTGCAAAAATAAGTTAACAATGTTTCAGTAGTAACATATTCATGCATTATAGGTAATGTGCAGCAGTTTGGCTGCATTTATTGTGATTAAAAATAAGAAATTACCCAATATTAGGTGCAGAGGATTTGTATCTAAGCAGCTGTTGTGTTGGAACAGGTACCAATATTGATTGATTTAAACTGGAATCGTATCAAAGTTTTAAAATCTAGAGTTGTGACAACCTTGATGTAAATGTTCTCTTAACCCTAACATGCTAACCTGTCAGCATCACAATCTGAAAGAGCTAGCGACTCAGATTTGTTCTTGTATTTGCAAATTCAGCTTTTGGTTGCAGTCTGCAATTTCCTAATGGCTTCAAACCCATCCCGTTCATATCAATAGAGTGATGATAATGGATTTTATTCACGCAACACTATCCCAAAAGGCTCTGCACATTAGCTAATTGACCCCCACTTAAAGCTTGATATTTTCCCAAAACAGGAACAGTCCAAACTGTTGTGTTGGTTGGCAGGTTACTCTCCCCTACTCGGCTTCCTTTCTGTGTGTGACGCGTAACCAGAGAGACGGGACGAGAACCAGAAAAGCAGCAGGAGTGGAAACGCTTTTGAAGGCAACACCGCTGAGTCCAGCTTGTAACTTTTCCATGGCTGAGCCAAAGGGTAGGACTCGATTAGTCTGCACAACGAGATCAGAGGCTTTCAGGGTCTGTGTGTATAGAGGTGTGGGTGTTTGAGTGGTGAGGTGAATTATATGGTTATCAGCTCTGAACTGGTCAAACTAGTTTTTCTTGGATTGGAATCAAGTGGCCCCGTCATGCAGCTGTCTTTTGGTTAATGCATTGCTGTTTTTCATCCAACCCTCGAAGCACCGATACTTACAGAGACTATTTCACCTTGTAAATGTGAGCACATAAGCTGCAACATTTTTGGATGTTGATTGAACGCGCCGCAGCATCCTGTGACCTCAGATGTTAATGTGTAACTGCCAAAGGAAACAAATGCTTTCTGACCTTTGGAACGGAAAAATTCTGCTTTGCAAATATACATCATGTTTTACTGTCTTGAAATCTTTTAGTTCAAGATGATGAAGGATTAGGGAAGTACCTAAAGTTATCTGGCTTTATGACCTCTGTATTTTACTAGATCTAAGGGTGGTTTCACATTAGGGTACTGGGACTAGATCCGAGTACACTTGACCCCTGAGTCCAGTTTATTTGATCAGTTTGCACAGTACTCTGGTACCGTACTCGAGTACTGTGCCAGAGTCTGCTTGTAGAGGTGTATGTGTACTCGAGTACGGCGAGATGTGAAGCAACCGTGCTAAATCAAGGAAGTGGACCGCTACATGACGTACTTCTGAACGGCCCCTGTCGTTTGAAAAACCCTTGTACATCTTCTGAGCTGCACAGTAGATGTGGAAGTAGGAAGAGGGTCGTTGTTGACGTTTCAGAAATCACAAATTCATCCACAGTGGGCAGGACAGACTCAGTCTGCAAGTGGAAATTAATCTTCTTCTTCTTTCTGCTTTTTGGTGAATTTGAAAACCAACTGCGTCGTGCATACTGCCACACTCATAGCATAGTGTTTATACATGACTGTTGGGTAAAACATTTACCTTCCCTGTGGCGGAAAGCCCTCTGAACCTACCTGCCTTGTACTGAGTCTTACATGTCTACTTGGACCATTTCTTGTTATCGTTGAACTGTATAAATACATCCCTGATAAAGGCTTTTTCTTTTGTTCCATTACTTTGTTACCTCATAAATCTCTTTTCCCATCCATCTCAGTCTCTTTTCATTTCCTCCTCCGTCCATCTCTCGCACAGCTTGTTTCCGGGGGTCATACAGAGCTTCTGCTAGCTGGACCATCTGTGAATGCGATCTATGAGCTGTGGGAGGAGGGGAGGATGTGAGCAAGGAGAGGAGAGGGAACGGAACAAGTGGCTATTGGGTGATCGGGAGGGGGTGTTGGGTAGAAGCTGCCTGTGGTCAGAGTCAAAGGAATGGGGGAGCGTGGGTGAAGCAGATGATCGGGGAGGGGGGGTTCAGCCACAGAAAGAGGGAACCTGATTGAGGTTAATGAGTTCAAAACCTTTATTTGATTCTCCCCTGATTATTTCATTTTTTCCCAACCCGTCCTTTACCACAGCTTCATGGGTTGTCAAGTAAGGAATCTTCCAGCACGCAAATCTCTGTTTAGTGGTCACAGAATGACATGATCAGGACCATCTGCATCTGCTCAACAGAGAAGAAGACAAAAGCCCAATAAATGAGCCATTTAGTTCTGGTTTTCCTCCTCCTCCTCCTCCTCCTCCTCCTCCTCCTCTGTGGTTTGTGTGTCATGTGAGGAGATCTTTGCTTTCAATGATCCAAACCACAGCTTTTTCCACTTTAAACTTCAAGATGCTGGAAGTCATTTGGAGCTCAGTCATCAGTTTTTTTTTTTACATTTCTGTCCGATAAAATGTGAAAATGGAACAATCTGAGGTTCCTTTAGTTGTGGTATCTTAACGGGGATTCCTAATTTATTTTTGTGTCAGTCATTGTGCTTTATTACTACAGCAGTCTCAGAACCCATTGACAATCAAGACGAGAAATTCTTCTGGAAACGGATGTAAATTTTTCAGTAATTCTGGTGGAAAAAAAAGTCCATCCAGCCCAGGCTTCCTTCTCCATGGGGCATTTCTACAATTCACTGAGCAGACACTTTTATCCAAAGCGACCTGAACTAGAGTAAATGCAACACAGCCAGTAGGGAGTTGAAATACTAAATGCATTTAAGCTGCAGACGTGAACACCGTCATTTCCAGGGTTAGGGTTAGGGTCCATTATATCCCCAGAGTAGCGTCCAACCCGTTTAACAGTAGATAATGGTGAAAATGGGCTTCAATCTGATTTACATCAGCCGCATAAGCCTGATTTAAGAAACATACTTTCATGTGATTAACTCTCAATTAACAGGAATTAAGTTAGCTGAAATGACATCATCATCGTGCAGATTTGTGAAAAAAAAAAAAAAAGTTGAGCTTTGTCAGGTCCGTCCTCAAGAGAAGAAAATGACTTTTAAAATGTTTTGTCTTTTGGATGGCGGTCTGATCAATCATTTCTGGTGCATTTCAGGTAGTCTGGACATCTAAAAGCTGATTGGCTTACTGACTGACAGATTTATCACTGAAGTTAAAATGTTTTTGTAGAGATACAAAAATAAATGTCAGAATACCGCAGATGGGAGCCGATTGCACAGATTTAAATCAGTCTGGTTTTGGTTTTCCATATGGACTGTTTTTCCTGCGAACAACAAATCCTGCTGATCTGTGATTGGTCAGGACAGCTTGGACTACAGACAGACTAGAACAAGTAGCTACAACATGCTCCCCCCCCCCCCCCGAGTAGAGATTCTTCATGTTCATGTAGAAACAGAGATTATTAATATAATAGCTCTGTTACATGAGAGGACTACTCGCTGTCAGGCTGAGTGAGAAAGGATTGTTGGCGTCTCTCACTGCTCACTTCCTCTTTTTCAGATTCCCCCAAATTCCTTAGAGGCCCCTTTCCATAAATGGCATTTCCTTTTGGAGGACAGAGACTTATTTATCGTGTGAATTCATGCAAAGTGCAGCATGGACGAGTTGGGTAAAAGAAAACATGATTAATCTTGTTATTATTTTTTGTTTCTGTTGTGCAGGATACTGAAGTGGGTGAAGAACTGGCTGTTCAAGAAGAAGAGTGAGAGTCCCCAACCCTCCTCAGCAACAGCAGCCCATCAGTATCCAAACCTTAGGAGGAGGTGATGAAACCGGATGGGGTTAATATGGAAACCACGGAGCCCACTGAAGCTGCAGCAGTAGCAGAGCACCCCCCATTGCAGGACGTCACAACAGAGCAAGCCCCATCACAACCAGGGGAGACTGCAAATGATGTAGCACCTGAACCAGCTCCAAAGGCCAATGGCAAGGCAGTAGCAGCAGACCCCAAAGCCAAAACTAAAGCTGTCTCGGCTAAAATCCCGCCAACAGCTAAATCAGCAGGAGCTACAAGACCAGTAACGGCCTCCCAGCGCACAGTCAACGATGTCAAATCATCCAATAATGTTTCTGCAGCTGCAAAGAAGGCAACAACATCAACATCTGCAAAAGCATCAGCAACGGGGCCTGCATCTAAAAGACCGGTGGGTGTCGCAGCTGTTTCCTCAACGCTCAAGAACCAAACTAAAGTGCCGGACAGGAAGCCTGTGGGAGCAGCCAGGACAACCTCCGCTGCTGCCACGGCAACAAATGGTACCAAACCGACCACAGCAAACGGGACCCCTAAGAGGAGACCAGTGGCTGAGACTGTTAGACCCAAAACCACAGGTAAAGCTGAGGCAACATGAGTAAAACTTAAATTTAGAGGTGCAACGATTAGTCCACATTGTCAATGACAACGAATGTAAACGTTTGTTACATCATTGTGTGTGTGATCGTGCTGAGTATGGACAAAAACCTCCTTTTCTGGAGATTAACTGTCGAGGAGTAAGCCATCCTTCATTCTTACTCTCTCTTCTGAGAGTAATGTACAAAGAAAACTGCAACCAAGAAGCGACAGGTGAACAAAACATCACTTAAAGAAACGTCTCTAGTCTGCAGTGTTGAGCTCTCCTCTCCTCTCCTCTCATTACTTCCTCTCCTCTTCTGTTTCTCCTCTCCTTACTTCCTCTCCTCTCCTTACTTCCTGACTTCCTCTCTTCTCCTCTCATTACTTCCTCTCCTCTCGTGTCTCTCCTCTCCTTACTTCCTCTCTTCCTATCCTCCTCTCCTCTTCTTACTTACTCTCCTCTCCTTACTTCCCCTCCTCATGTGCCTCTCCTCTCCTCTCCTCTCCTGGAAATAGACCAAGAATACATCATGCAGCTTTTTGCTCACTTTGACATCATTTTTCCATGTTTCAGATTTATATGCAGTATTGTTTCTTATGTTCTTGGATTTTTTATTTTTTTTTGCAGCTTCTTCCAACAGACCAGCGTCTTCCACTGCTCCGAAACCCAGCACTTCAACCACAACAACAAGACCTGCTGCTGGAGCCACGGCAAAGACCACCAGGTACGCCTGCCTATCACAAACGTGACACTGGATCACATAGTGCCAACACACAGACACTGAAACAAAGTGATGTGTTTGATAAAAGCATTTTATTTCCGTAACAATAACACCCCCCCCCCTTACATTCTGCATTGTCTGTGTCTGGCTTTCACACACGTCTCTCCCTCTCTCAGGTCTGAACTTTGTATTTACAAACCGCGAGAGAGGCCAACTTTCTTTTTCTGTCTTGAAGCGCTGAAAAGAGAGCAGCGGCGAACGATGTCCATTGTCGGGCTTTGGGTCGTTATTGAGTCAAATTTCGTTTCAAGAGTGTGAGTCATGTTGATAGGAATAGGGCCTTAATGGAGGCAGTGACACTGAAGAAGTAGTGCTTTGTCCCCAAACAGACCCCCGGGTAGAAACCGGCCCCACTCCCCCAGGGCTGAGAGCTATTGACTTGAGTCATAATCCCCTTCACGCTGAGCTGCTGGTGTGGATAGAGAGTGCTCTAGCTGGACTGGACCTTTACAAAGACCTGTTCTCATACTGACCTCTTTGGTTACCAAATCTTACGTTTGTAAAAAAACAGAATCCTCTGCTGGTAATTATCTGGTGGCATCGTTTTGAGGATGTACAGAAAGGAAGTGGTCGGCGCTCTCAGCGTTGCTTGACCATTTCCTGCACTGATGACCTCACTAAATGAAGACAGTAATTGTTGTGGTTCCAACGTTTAAGAGTCATATTCTACATTCGTTCAAAAAGTGACAGCACTAACTCAAACAGGAGGAAATACAAGCATAGAGAGCTCTAAATGTTTTGGCTTCACTTCTCTACAGGCTTTGTTTGCTGTCCATTATTTTACATTTGTTTGAATCCAAGCTTTAACTTCATTGATGGAAGAGCTTTGTCTGGATCCAGCCTCTGTTAGAAAGTCCAATCCATTTGACCGCTTCACTTTGACATCTCACCACAGGAAGTGGTGTTCTGTCCGGAGAGGCGTAATTAGATTCTCTCTCCACTTGTCTCCCCTCTTGATGATAATTTATTAAATAAAGGAGTAATGTGCTGCCCTGTGCTGCGTCATTGTGTTTCTCAGGATCATTGCATTCTCTCTTTGCTCTGAGAAAAAAGAAAATAAGTTATTGTAGATTTTTCTTTTAATTCCTGAAGTACTCCTTTATTGATTTATCTGTAAAATATCAGAAAATGGGATTGGCAACTCAAACAAAATGCTAAAAAGAGATAGACTTGCCATTGTATAGAAGAGTAAAGCGGTAAATGTGCACACTTGTGAAGCTGGTACTGGTGAACAGCTGTTTTAGGGGGCACTGGTGGACGAGTGGCGAGTTTGCTTACCCATTGTTCAGACGCTTTAGCTTGAAGTAGGCTGCCTGTGCATGTTATTCACCTCTCTCTCTCTCTTCCTATGTCTGACTCTCTCTCTGACTGACTCTCTCTCTCTCTCTCTCTCCTCCCTCTGTCTGACTCTCTCTGACTGACTCTCTCTCTCTCCTCCTTCTGTCTGACTCTCTCTCTCTCTCTCTCTCCCTCTGTCTGACTCTCTCTCTCTCTCTCTCTCCCCTCTGTCTGACTCTCTCTGACTGACTCTCTCTCTCTCTCTCCCTCCCTCTGTCTGACTCTCTCTCTCTCTCTCTCTCTCTCCCTCTGTCTGACTCTCTCTCTCTCTCTCCCCTCTGTCTGACTCTCTCTCTCTCTCTCTCTCTCTCTCTCTGACTCTTATCATCTGTCCTATCTCTCCAATAAATGCATAAAATAAATCTTCAAAATAAAAACAAACAGTTGTTTCAGCTCTGGAGATCAGTAATGAATGGTGTCTCCGTGTGCGCGTGTGTGTGTGTGTCCTTCCTCTGAATTAATCAGACGAGGCGTTTCGAATGTAGGAGTCTGATTACAGTAGCACATCATCCTTTTATGTGAATGTTCCCTGACCTTTTTCCCTGGGACACGACATCAGGCACGCGCCTCTCGGTCTGAGACTCGCAGAGGACAACAGGAGAACAGCGGCAGGTGTCTGACCCCGTGACAGATAATGTGTTGCTTTTCATGCCACCTGCGTGCCTCGGTGAAGTCAGTGGCGTGCTCTTCCTTTGTGTGGCAGCAGTAGTAGTAGCGGTGTGCCTTTCCGACCATGTTGGGGCTCGTGCTGGCTCTCTGGCGGTCACTGTTGCATGCGTTGCTTTAGCTTGTTGGTGTCAGAGTTTAAGGTTTGATAGTATTTGGCAGACTACCAAGGGAGGTGCTTTAGCTGGAACACAATAGCCTCTGCCTTGTAATCCCAGCCCTGCTGTATTGTTTGTCACACTGCTGAGACAACAGGAGTCATTGTTGCCCAAACTGTCGCACAGGAACACACATTAACATTTTCCTCGCATATTTCTGCAGGTGATTCTTTCATGTAGACAAACTGAGGTCCCAGCACAGACAAACAGTTCTACTGTAAGACACATGCAGTAGCCTCTGCTATGAAGTGTTTATATTGTTTTGCACAAAGGGAGGAATGAAAACTATCAGGGCTTTATCAAGCTTAAGGTGACATGTGCTGTGGAGATGGCATTAAACTATAAACACTTGCTAAAGGAATATTCGTAATGCGGCAACAAAGCGTTTAAATGTCTTCAACCGTGCTAGTTGTGTACAAGCTGTAAACAGCCACTAGCAGGGGCTGTAGCTCTTGTTGGTCTGGTAGCTGGAGAGTTGCCAGTCCACTTCCCAAGCACTGCTGAGGTGCCCTTGAGCAAGGCACCGAATCCCAAAACTGCTCTGGAGCACTCGCTGCGGGCAGCCCCCTCACTCTGAGACCTCTCCATTAGTTCATGTCCACAGGATCCTGTTCGTGCATGTGTGTGTATTTCGGCCGAGGGTTGTGTAGCAGGTTCATTAAACAGAGTAAAACTGAATTTCCCCTCGCTGCCATTTTGCTCTACAACCTGGATGCACACCAGTACAGTGGACGAATGGTGTCTCATAGCGCAGTTGGCAGTATTCAGAGCTAGATGGATTTGAGCTTGTATAGCGCAGTTTCTGGCTACTCGGAGCGTTTTTACACCGCAGGTCATACCTACACAGTCACACACTGATGGTAGAGGCTGCTGGTAAAGAGACCATCGGTATTAACGAATCCATTCATGCACATTTATACTCTGCTGGCCAAGCAGCAGGAGCAACTTGAGGTTAAGTGTCATGCCACATTGTACATGGGGCTGCAGGATTTGGGGATCTAACCCCAAACCTTCCAGTTGAGAGATGACCAAAATGACCACTGAGCCACAGCCGCCCCAAGTCATCTGCAGGCTGTATCAGGTTAAGCGAGAAACCAGCTCAGGCATGTGGATGTTTACCTCCAAGGAGGACCGGTGGCTGGGGGTGCTAGCACCGCTAACGTTAGCCACACTCGGCAATCCCTATCCCGTGTTTAGATGAGTAAAGAATGATTGCGATTAAATTATGATTAACACTACTTTGTGTTTTGCACAAAACATTATTTGTGATAATGGAAGATGACGAACATGTAAAATATGAGTCAGTGAGGAGAGGGAAGGGAAATGCTGGATCGTAGCTGAACAAACAATGTGTCAGGGCGGTTTCTTAGTTTGAGAAATTCATGCCTGAGTAGATTCACAATCCATCTGAATGACAGGAGGATGTCTCCCCCGATAACTGGAGAAGAGAAGCTTAATGTTTTAAAATCTGGCACCTGTTCTGCTCCACTCTCGGCCAACGATGGGTTATGGTGTCCTTGCACGGAGCGATCTGTCTTTGTCCAACGCAACCCCCTCTCTCTATCTCCCTCGTCACTTTTAACTGCCGTCTGTCTGTGCATGTTTTAATTTCTGGGCTTTTGGCCAGGATCTCCTCCAGCCCTCGTCCACCCAGTCGTCCTCGTCTTTCTCACCCTTTCATCACTTCGCTGTGTACGGAGACTAAAACATTCAGGGTGTAGTTGTGAAACATGAGAAGGACAGCGCTTATGCCTTCATGGTGCTGAAGCATCTGCTATATGATTAATTGTCTGAGAGTCAATAGCTTATGGATATTTTTTGGGCCCTCATTGAACACATTCAGTCATTACTTAAAAAAAAAACAATCAGCTAGGAAGTAGAATTCTGCGTCTCGTTTCCCGATACCTCCTGTGTCAGCCCTTTGGAGATAAAATCGTCATATTTCCCAGCAGTCTTTGCAGGGAGCAGGATTACTGTCCCAACAGAATAACTCTGTGGCATCCATCCCAGTGACGGCGTGTGTGCCCGGGAACCAGCAATGTCTGCGATGCTATTGCTAGGCTGTAACACTTCATCCAAACACTCCCTCTCTCTTCATTTTCAAGGAGATAACTGTAGGCCCCCGACACACACCCTAGGAATGTGTGCTCGTCTACAAGGCAGAGTAAAGCGGCTGGTTTTGGACGGGATACAAACCAAACAAGGAAATGATCGGGTGCTCCATTTTCCACTTGTTGTCCTGGAGGGGGATCCTTGAAAAAGCTGATGAGGGGGGAAAAGAGCAAGCACAGAAGAAGAATGTGTGCTGAAAGAGAGACTGCCTTTTTTATTTGTAGGGGGAGCACACACACTCCCTAAGAGAACCTCCCAGGCCAAGCTGTCCTCTTTCTTTATGGCTTGATTAAAACAGAATAATTTAATCTTCAGGACAGGAACGAGTATGCCGAGGGACTCTGGCCTCCGTAAACAAAAAAGAAGAGAGGGAGGCTGAATCATAAGCCCTGTTCAGATTGATGTTCTGCAACAGTCCTGTAAGGAAGCTCCGCCGTCATCACGCCTTTGTTACTTTGGTATTGATTCTTGCGACGGTGTGATATTGGTGTCCCTCCTGTGTGTGACTTCACTTTGCGTTATGGTGCAGCTGAAGCACGACGTGGAAAGACACAGCAGGGGCTTCACATTCATTCATGCATGAATAGAAAACATGGACGTTGTGCTTTCTCCACCTAACTTTGATCAATCTAGAAAACGGGCAAAGAGGTCGAGTTAAGGCGAGCCTGACGCGTCCTTGCAAACGGCTACAACATGTCTGCCCATCAGTCAAATCAGCCACGCCCCTAATTATGCATATTTGCTTCTGATTCTTTGCCTTTACTATAATCCAACTGGGTGAGTTATAAAAAAGATTAACCCGTTTACAATAAAGATATGCGCTATTTATACCAGAACTGTTTTTGAACCAGGCCGTGAACATGTGAAATGTGGATGTTAATGGGGATTTCCTGCCTCGGATGAATGGATGGGGGGGAGTAGGTGTGGCTTTACCAAAGCTCCCCTGGCTCATGTTTATGATTTGTCCAAACAGATGTTGCAGCTGCTCAGCATTTTAATATCCTGGCTTTGCCGTCAACATTTATGAACACGGACTGTAACACAGTATCAGTAACCTGCCCTCATGCTGACCTTTGCCCTGAAGAAGACCTCATGTGTGGTCATTAAAAACCCTGTAGTAGATGTCTGTTTTAGTGCCTCTCTTCCTGTCTTTTGAACGGCGATTTGTATTGATTTCAACCGTCTGTTTGGAGGAAATGTAATCCATACAAATACTCCCAACAACAGAACCACAGGCCATGTGTGGAGTACAGACATTAGTGGCTCTCTCTCTGCTCCTCTCTGTGGATCAAATCTTTGAGCTGTGACTCATCATTAAATAGAGGAGGGAGGGCTTTCGGGGTTATATTGTGTCTGTGACCTCCCCTTACCCTTTTTATTCCCATTCCTTAATGCTTGTCTTCATTTCTGTCTCGGTCTAATTGCAGCTTCCCCTCGGAGTTCACTCTCTCAGTTCTGTCCGACTTTGCTGTGAGCAAGTCTCTGGCGATTCATGTTTGCATATGAAAACTGCCTCCGATTTGAGCTGTTTGTCCTACTCGTTTATTTTTCTTCTGTTGTTCATCATTATCAAAGGTTTACTCAGGGCAGCTTCATCGTTATGTCTGACACACTTTTCAGTTTCTGGGATGCGGGCTGAGATTTACATCACAACCCAAATCTTCTCTCTGACGGCAGCCCCCCCCCCCCCCCACGAGTCCACACTCGGGATGTGGTTTTCTGATCTTAGGGGAACAAACGGTCATTGTGATGGTTATTGTAATGTGGGAGCGGCATCCGTGTGCATGCATGCTACTCTGCTGAGAGCCGGGCAGTGTGTCTTTGTCAGTTCATGTCTCAGCTACTGCAGAAGGAGACATAATAAAGGTCGTAGTCATTTGTGTCGGGGTTGCAGAGTTCTTGTTGTTGAGAGAGGGATTTTCATTTTATTAGAATCGCATGTCAAACACATTGGTTTGAAGCGGTTGGTTTGTGTTGGTTTGTGTTGTTTTATACCCGTCAATGTTCATGTGTGGAAACGAGGGCTTTGCACCGCCTGCAGCCCACGACTCGCTCATTTAACCGGCTGACTTTGTTTGAAAGCTAGCCAAGGCAGCGGGGCATCAAAGCTCAGAATACATAACATTCCTGTAGCCTGATTTCACAGTGCTAAGTAAAGCAAAGTGCAAGACACATTCAGTACTTATGTAGGTTACTGCTCATCATATCACTGCACTGACAAGTCTGATGCACAGAGGTCACTGACAAGTAGTGTTGTAGTCAAGAACACACTAACCGAGACCATGACATATCCAAGACCAGAGTTCTCCCAGACGGAGACAAGACCAAGACATTTAGGGATCGAATCAAGACCGAGTCAAGACCAAGACATTTAGGGATCGAGTCAAAACCAAGACATTTAGGGATCCAAGACCAAGACATTTAGGGATCGAGTCGAGACCAAGACATTTAGGGGTCGAGTCGAGACCAAGACATTTAGGGATCAAGACCGAGTCAAGACCACGACATTTAGGGATCGAGTCAAGACCAAGACCTTTAGGGATCGAGTTAATTCAATTCAATTTTCAATTCAATTCAATTTATTTTGGATAGCGTCAACTCATAACAAGTGTTATCTCAAGACACTTTACAGAAAGCAGGTAAAATACCTGACTCTGTCTGTTAACATTACAAAAGAGCAGGTAAAAAGACCTTACTCATTGTTATGTTACAAAAAGCAGGTAAAAGACCTTACTTATTGTTATGTTACAAAAAGCAGGTAAAAGACCTTACTCATTGTTATGTTACAAAGACCCGGCCTATCCATCATGAGCACTTTAGCAAAGCAGCAAAAGTTACAGTGGTAAGAAAAACTGCCTTATTAAAAGGCAGAAATCTTCGGCCGGATCCCCGGCTCATGACGAAACAGCCTTCACAGGTCTAGACTGCGCCTGGGTTGGAAAGGGATAGGGGGAGAGATGGGATAAGATGCAGGAAGAGGGATAGGGAGCAAGGGGGTGGGGGGAGGCATACCGCCCATCAACAATCCGGTGGGGGGGGGTTGTTCTGGCAGGCCGTCAACCAACGATCTTGAGGAGCCTAAGAGAGCTCAAGAGCTCTTAATAAAAAGTATTTATTTTACATATTTAAAATACATTTAAAATCACGCTGCTCGCTGCCTTCAATGCGACATATTGCACAGCCTGACTTCATATTTTTCTCTCGTCTTAAATAGTGCAAAAGGGAGTTTTTTTTAAGTCAAGACCAAGACCTTTAGGGATTGAGACCGAGTCAAGACCCAGACCAAGGCAGGGTGAGACCAAGACCATAAATATCACTGAAAAATCATCATCTTGTGTGCAGCGGGCGTGTCACTCACTTAGACCGTAACACAGGGAAGGTTGTGACCGTAATCGGGGGATAAAAATGAAATTATGAATGAATGACTATCATCATTATTGCACAACAGTTCTGAATGGATGTTCAGGTGAATGAAACATGTTTGAGCCTCTGAGCGAACTGAAAGGAGGCGCTGTCCTGTCCTGTGTAAACACAGAGCTGAGAACAACAAGCTTAGAGGGAGTTTGACTTCACTCTTGTCTTTATTAGAAAGACATAACTCAGTGAGGATATTATTTGATATCTGCCGTATTCATGTTTAAAATGCTGCGTATTATACCTTTAAGTGAAACAAAGAACGATAATATATTACTTTGACTACACGGTATGTCTGCAGGCTACTAGGGCGGAGCACAAGTAGAATCCTTTGGCTCGCCTCCTTGAAGAAGAGAGGTGGATGTTGCACTGATTTTAGGATTTTGTATATGCAGTTGTGCTGAGAGAAAAAGTGCTGCGTCACTTCAAGACTCCTCCAAACGGACTCCCCTCCTCCTGCACTCGCTCATTGTTTCCTTAGATATGATCTCCTCCTCCTTTTCCCCTCTTTAAACCATGTTTCTGTTTCCTCTCCTTTTAGTATTTTTTCTTTTTAACTATTCAGTTCCACATTTAGCACCCTCGGCTCACTCAACTTTCCCCCCTCTCTCCTCCTGTGAGTTTTTCACTTCACCCCTCATCACCTCTGCTTTACCTTTCTCTTCCCCTTGTGCACCTTTTCATTCCTGTTCCATCTTTACATATTGTTCCCCCCTCCCCCTCCCTGCACCCTGTCCTCGCCTCGTGGAAGTGATTGTGAAACAAAGGAATCATTACAGTGTGGCAATAGATGGATGGTGCTGCATTAATGGCTTCCCATTGTTGGAATTGATTTTGTGGTTTACATTAGGACAGGTCATTTATTTATGCTGTAAATGCACGACGAGGCAGGCCATCTGAAGTCATGATCAGATCTTTTATACTCTAAATAAGAGATGCTACCATTGGACGACATTATGATGTATTGGATTTGAAATGTGATCATAAATAACACATTCCCTTTTTTCTTAAAAGCATGCTCAGTTCCCTATATTAGCATAAAAGACAGTACCTCTGCTTTTCTTGATCCAGTCTGAGGTTACATAAACCGTCCATCATGCAGATCACGACCACCTGAGTGAGGAATATGTTGATGTCTAAAAATGACATGTTCTGTTTCTTAATGATGACATATAGCAAGGAGGGATCATTGCAGTGAATTGAAACAGAGAATACAGCAGCTTCAAAATGTGTTTGGTTTGTTTTTTGTCGTCATCTCAACATGTCAATGTTTTTTTTTCCCTCCAGGCCTGCTACAGCTCCCCCAACATCTCGACTTGCCTCCACCACCACATCCAGGCCTACTTCATCTGTAACCAGCAAGCCCTCCACCACCGCAGCTGCCAAAACCACCGCTTCTAGAGCTACTACAGTACCCTCTACTGGCAGGACCACTACAGCACAGCTGCCCAAAACTGCTGCTGCTGCTAAGAAAGGTTAGAAGCTAGAGACTGTGTTTAAGGAGGCTTTGGTTAAAAACTGTCTTAAAGCAAACCAGTAAATCTGAACTGGAAACATAGTTGTTGATTTTCAAAATGAGGTTTTATTTTTGAGCCACATGACGGGTGAGCTGATGATCACTGTTTTTCATTTTTTTCCACAGATGTCAGTCGACCACCTCCTGCTGCAATGGCAAAGAAACCGTTAACTACAACATCCTCCGCTACCAAAAAACCTGAATCCTCTAAACCTGCCACCACCACCACCGTGAAGCAGAACTCTGCCTCTAAACTGTCAACGACCGCAAAGGCAGCAGAAACCAAGGTGTCGCAAACCAAAGCCCAACCGCCCGCTAAATCTGCTCCCGCAAAGAAACCCGCGGCTGCTGCTCGATTACCTGCCCTCAACAGACCTCCGATTGGCCGAACCCCACCTGCTTCTCCAGTCAACAAACCTGCAAACAGCAGCGCCGCTCTGTCCAAACGCGGTGCCAAACCAACTCAGGCTGTCCCCCCGTTCACTGCCGCAAAAAAGACCGGGGTTTCAAATACCACCACGCCTGCTGTGGAAACACAGCACGCTGATAATGCAACGGTAGCAACAGTAGCAGCTGCCACAGCAGCGATTGTGCTAGCAGAATCTCAATCTGAGACTGCAGAGTCCCCTCCACAAGAATCATCACTTGTGGCACCTGCACTAGAGGAGGTCTCGCTCCCAGTCTTGGCCCAGGATACCACACCGGATGTGGAACCTGAAGAGACTGTCCAAAGCCATGCAGCTGCCTCCGCTCCTCCAGAAAGCCTCGTCCTGACACAAACAACTTCCCCCCAGGAGCAGCCGGAAAGCAATGCTCCCTTACAAACAACACAGGAGCAGATCCCTGCTCCAGCTGATCCTGAAGTACCACCAGTGGCCTCCTCTTCAGACCTCCAGAAGGAGTCTGTGAACCCATTTACAGACCAAACCCCTTCCATCTCTCAAGCCCCTCCAGTAACGGAAAGTCCCCTCACTCAGTTACCTCCTCAAAGTAATCTTAATGATGAGGAGGATGAAGAGGAGCAGTGGGAGAGCCAGCAGGTGTCCGTGTCTGAAATGAGTGGAACCACACAGCCCACAGAGGAGTCTCGCCCCGGCTCGGCTGGACTGGTCAGAGGGTCTGCTTGGAGAGCCAGCGGCGCCCTGCTGTCCGAGCTGGACTCTGAGGAGGTGAGTGGCAGTCAGCAGGGTGCATCTGAACTGAGCGCCCCCGGCGTCCTGGAGGGCACAGAGAGCATGGACGATCTGGGAGACGGCAGCCTGAAGGGAGCGATCGACATGGAAGGAGCCTCGGCCGGTTCACCTGACTTTGAGAAAGTTCCCGACATTCCCGTTAACGACTTTGATGAGGATGAGGAAGACGACGAGGACGACGATCGGGTGTGTGACATGGATGTGGGCTCGGAGCGAGCCGATGAACCGCAGAGACCCAGGCACGACAACGACGTGGATGAGGAAGAGGACGATGAAGATGTGGAGATGGCCAGTGAGGGTGTGACAGAGAGCGGGCTGGAGAGCTATGGGAATGCAGACGAGGATGACTTCGCTGAAGACGAACGGCTCGACAACTTGAACAGAGTGGCTGAGCCGCCGCCGCCTCCCTTGCTGCCGTCCGCCCCCGCCGCTCAGTGGGACCAACCAAACCCCTTCGCTGATCACTGGGCAGAACCTCTGCAGCCACAGCAGGTCCTGGAAAACGTCTCCCAGGCAGCAGGAGCGGCTGCAGCAAGCCCTTTGGCGGACCCCTGGCAAGCGGACTCAGAAACCCCAACTCAGACCCCAGCCCAGGCCTGGCTAGAACTCAGCTCTGGTCCTTTTGGTTCTGAAGAAGCTCCCCATCAGTCCTCTGTTAAAGATGAGGCAGAAAATCTAGAGGCCAGACTGTACATGGATCAGTCCAGCCCTGCACCCTTGCTGACCCTGCCTTCTGCTGCTGGGATGTCTCTGTCAAGCACCCTGAGCAGCGAGACCAGCACACCTGAGGAGCTGGCTGACCCTGTGAGGCTCCGCCCCCAAGATGCACAGGTTGCAGGGCTTTCCCCACAGCCTGACCAGGACTATCAGGAGGAAGGAGACCAGGAAGAAGAGGAGGAAGCTGAGGCGGAGACCCTGCCCGCAGATGAAGTCCTAGGAGGTCCTGCAACCGCCCCCACCTCAAACCCCTCGTCGTCGTCGGTAACTGAAGATGAAGCCAGCGACACAGAGGGAGAGGCTCAGCTGGAGGATTCATTGGAGACCCCGGCGGTGGCGAATATAATCTTTGACAGTCAGGCCGCGACCCGCCGCTGCCTGTCTGTCGTGGAGGAAGGGGAGGAGGCCGAAGTGAGCGCCTGCGCAGTCGAAGACATAACCCCGCCTTCAGCTACATCCCTGGCGTCTTACGGCTTTGACACCACGACCACGGCTTCAAACTCCAACGCCCAGTCCACGGGAGAGAGCTGCGTCAAAAGCCCGGGCATCTTCTCCCTGGAGGAGCTACCTGAAGAGGTCAAAGAGCCATTTCTGATCCCACAGCCTGCCGCGGCGCCGTCCCTCGCAGAGCATCAGTACATCGAGTGTGGGAAACAGGAAGCAGAGTCGGCTGAGCATGTCAGAGAGGAAGAGGAGGAAGCCCTGGACCCTTCATCCACTCCCATCACTATGCAGCAAACAGAAGAAAACCCCGAAGACATCCAGCCTCCTTACTATTCTGCTATCTGTGAAAAGACTGAAAACTCTTACGCAGGTAACGTATAGTTCATCATCTCCCTAACCGCCCCAAAGTAACGTCCCTTAACTCCCTCTGGCCTTGATCCAACGTCCCCAAAATGTCTTCCTGTTGTAGTTCTCGTCCTCCCGTGTTTGTCCTTGAAATCTCTGGGGGTGGACTTAAAAAAAATAAAAAAATAAAAAAGAAATACAGAGAGCAAAAAAAGGGAAAAATAAAGAGGACAGCAGTGGCACTTCCCTCTGATATCACATTTCTGTGATGAGTATACGGCTTAAATTCCTGTATGTGCAATAGCTACTATTTACTCTTAATGCGTGAGCGTGCCTGGGTTTTGGTTTCTGTTTTATTTAACACAAAACGATGATGTAAACCTGGACTGGAATTTGATTTGAATTGTCTGTTTACAGCTCTTTAAAAAAAAAAAAAAAGGGAAAACGATGATGCATAGCGAAAAGCAAAACGGAATGAAGTGTTGACTATGTTTTCATGTATTTATCCGACTTTTTACTGAACTCAAGTGTTAACTGAAAAAGAGTTTTCATTGTGTATTCCTGTGTGATTCTGTCCTTAACCCCGATCACTCCTCATCTCTTCTTGCACTTTAAATTGTAACCTAGCTTTCTCTTGTGTTCATCCATCTTTTGGACCCTTAAAACTTAAAATAAAGATTAGATTTTTTACCATGACCTCTCTGATCCTACAGTTTTATTGAAAAGGGGGCATGTTGGAGGAGCGTGTAAGGCCTACTTATGATCCATCGGATCTCTGTGCAAGTTTTCTGACACTTCAAGGTGTCACAAATGTCCTGCACCTTTACGAGAGACGATAACGATTTTAACTTCAACAGTCTCTCGTTATTTTTACTCCTGAAACAAACAAACACACACACACACACACAGAATCTCACACAAGTTTGTTACATTTTAAACAATCAGTGGAGACGCTACCTCGACTTGTCTGAGAAACACGAGCACTCTGGATGGACTCTGCAGTCTTCCCCCTCCACCAGGACTTCTCTCCCATGGATCGGCCTTTCAACATCTGAAGCTGCAAAGACAACTCATCGTTGAGCTGCAAGAACCGAACCACGTGCTCCTTCTTCTTCTGCTACTTTAATCTCCCTCCAGTCCACTGTGGGCGTCCCTCCTCTTCTGCCTTTTTTTGTTTTTCAAAGCGTTCTCGCTGCACTGATTCACAGCTCTGTAATAATGTCAACTTAATGCATGATGTCACTGTTGCACAAACTTCATTACATTTCCTTTTGGATACTTCAGTTCAGGGTCAGCCTGATTAGAACAAAAAGCTTATCATCGACTTCCTTCTAAAGCCATGCTGCTACTTCAGTTTTCTTGTGTTGCTGGATGACTTTTAAATGCATGTGGAGCTTCTGCATGCATCACTGGTTGACTAACGACACACTCCACTCACAGGTGATGACTGTTGTTGGAGTTACACTAAGCTTGTCTGTGGTTAGGTATGTCTCACCATGGTTTATAGTGATTGCATATACAGGAAGCTGGCTGCTTTTATTTTTGAACAAAAATCTTTCTTTTGCAGATTTTAAAAACATGAGATTTAAATCTATTTATAAGTATGCACATTTTGCTCTCTGCACAATTTTATTTAAACCACCACCCCCAGTCACCTCACCTTGGGTTTATTATTTCCTGATGTGTTCACTGTTTATACACAGATGCTGTCTGTTTGTCACTGCTGCACCTTTTTTCAACAATGTCCCACTGCCACAGAGCACTAAAATATAATATCTGCTGCAGCTTGGGCTTGGCTTCAAAAATACTTCCTCTCTTTCTTTCCTGAGTATGAGCCTCTGAAGGCGTTTCCCCTTCCCCTCTCCCCTTCTGCTTGTACTCACACTGCACTGTCCTGCTGCCTGTGACCTGTTTTATAAACCTCACGCGACTGTAATCTTCCTTCCCCGCTTCCTCTCACACACAGGCTTCACTGCACTGCCGCACCCTCACCGCCGCGATCACGCAGCGTACCCCAGAACCTACTGCGACATCATCAAACCTCCCGCAGCCCCCCCGCCGAAGCTGACCTGCGCCGACCTCCCGCCCCGGAGCCTCGGGCGGCAGGCGCTGAGCCCGCAGCTCCGCAGGCTGGAGCAGCACCAGAAGCAGCTGCTGGAGATGCAGCACCGCCGGGAGCAGCAGAGCCGGCCGCTGGAGGAGGCGGAGCAGGAGAGGAAGACGAGGGAGGAGGAGGAGCAGAGGAAGAAGAAAGAGGAGGCTGAAGAGGAAATAAAAAGGAATAAGGAGGAGAGGAAGGTGCAAGAGCAGGCGGAGGCGGCGAAAAAGAAGAAGAAGGAGGAGGAGGAGGAGGAAAAAGTGAGAAAAGAAGAGGAGCTGAAGCAGAGGAGAGATCTGGAGCTGCAGCTGCAGCAGCAACAAGAGGAGCTGAAGCAGAGGCAGCAGATCATGCAGTGGCAACAGGAGCTGCAGGAGTCCAACAAGGGGCAGACGGTGGTGCTGTCGCCGTCCTCTGGCCTGTGCACCATCTATGAAGCTCTGGAGAACACCGATGAAGAGGAAGGTGAAGATGAGGGAATAAAGGAGCTCAAGCACACCAAGAAGAAGAAACAGAGCAAGCAAGAGACGGAGAACAAGACAGAGAAGGACGACGCCTGTGAAAAGGTGAAAAAAGATGAAGAGAAACATGAGGACTCTGCTGTGTCCACAGAGGACCCTCCTCCTCCTCCTCCTCTTAGCCCAGACTCCCCTCAGACACCCAGCAACGACTCCCAGGACGGAGACAGCCCCCTCTCTCTCCCCCCTGAGTCTCCCGAGCGGCCTCCACCCCTGGATCTGGACTGGGGGAAGAAAGTGGACATCGTGCAGCAGCTGATCAATCAGACTCTGATGCTGAACAGAGACGGCTGCTCGTCCCTGCTGCTGCTGCCGGGACGAGCGGGAGGAACTCTGAGCCCGCTGGAGAGCAGCCTGTGGCCCAGCCTGCTGCCTCCCCTCACCCCGCCCTCTGCCACCGTCACCTCCGTCAGCAGCTTCTCCCCAGAGGCCACTGGGAGCTCCCCACAGGGCGAGTGGACGGTGGTGGAGCTGGAGACACATCACTGAGGGGACGTCAGTGTGTACTCTCGCTTTAAATCGCAGTAATGTAAAAATAAAATAAAAAAAACACCACTCGAACAGGGAGATGACACGAGCTCTGTCAAAGTGCGCACAAATACAGAACACTAAACAAACAGGGTGATATGAAGTCACACAGAGCCGCCTGTGCACATGTTTCAACACATTAATATTTACTTTCATAGAGCCGCTTATCAGACGTTAACGGTTTATCTCCCATCACATCGTAATGGACGGTAACAAAATTCACGTTTCATTCACAAATCACAGAAGCAGCTAAAACATATTTTTCTACTGCCCGACCCTGTAGGTAATTACGAGATGGAAGAGAAGGAAAGATCTTGTTTCTGTTACAGATAAAAAGAAATCGGTGTATATTTTCTTTAAGAACTAAATTATTTTAAACTACTGAGTCTCTATGTTCATCAGAGCTGATGAAGTTTAAGGCCGCCAGCAATAGAGGTAATCGGATGAACTAAGGTCTGAAATTAATGGATTCATTTTTTTTCATCTCATGCTATTTTGTCCCTTCAGGCTCTCCGTAGATAGTCGTCCTCAGTGTCTCCCTGTAGTCTTAGTCATGTAAAAGGACACTGCTGCATCTTTGAATGTCTCATTTCACTTAAACAAACTCTCAGACAGCTCTGCTGACGAGTCCAAAAGTAATATCCACCTTATGACATCACACATTGACCTTTGCCACCGTTCCTTTGAGCTGTTTGACCTCAGTTTAGGATCCCTGACCACTTCCTGTTTCTGAGCTTAACTTCATGTCCTCACCTATCTACAGGAAGGGGCTTACTGTATTTCAAAATAAAAGCACACAGCAAGTAAATTACTCTCAGCTGAAGATGGGACAAAATTTCAAAATAAAAGCCTAACTTATTTTTATTCTTAAATGCAAAAATAATAAAATGTCTTAACACAGCCCGAGATAAAATGCATCAATATGAGAGGAATAAGCTCTTAAATGTAATGATTATTTGACAAAGATCGTTTTTTAGAGGTCATTAATGAACATGTTAAGGAGCCACTGCTGTACACTGAGCTGTTTATAAACAAGACCAACACAAATATCAACCATCAGCCCCTAACTGCTGTTAGACATAAATCTTTATTCACGCTATAATAAAAGTTAAATAAATGGAGTATTCTTGCCCTGAATTCAGACTTTCAGGTCGTTCATGGTAAACTAGTCTTAACTTGATATTTCTTAAACAAACTAACTTTAGACTCCCAGAGAACAGCGTTTTATAGATTCAACACTGATCCACCTCATAGCCAAAGATACGTCATAAGATAAGTGAGAAAATAACTCATCCAAAGTTACATTTCCCCCAAAACTGACATTGATTGGGCCTGATGCTCAGACTCCGCCCTACATATTAATTAATAATGCAGCATAAGATTTTTGCAAAGCTATTTGGAAATGCATTAGCATGACCACACGTGCATGCGGATGAGTGAACGTTAAACTGCGATCCACCTGTGGAATATTAGTTTCCATTTAAAACGTAAAGCCGCTGAATCTCCTTAAATCACAAATAGATTTTTTTTCATGGACCTGTGTGTCCTCATTGATCGTTATATAACCTTACCTGAGAGTCTGTACTCGGGGGCAAGAAAGTCTTTTGTCGCTGCCAGTGAGAAGCTGCTGCTCAGACATCCAAGTAGACAAACGCAACATGACACCGACCGTCACACTCGACATCCTACGCCTCTGCAAACACAAACACACACACACCAGGAGCCACCCAATCCCATGATGCACCACTGCTACTGACAAACAGGGTTGGAACTGGACACTATAGCCAGTGCTTGACCTTTCGCCATGGGTGGCCACTATGAGCGCACACACTCACGAGCCGATGGTGCTAAATGGCCGCGATCACTCAAAGCTGAACTGGCCGATAGAGATGGTTGTTCTTTGTGTTCCTCTCGTGTGACGATGGACGCGTTCTTCTCACTGGAGAAACCTACGGGTCTTACTACTGAATGAAGGAACTCCATTTCCCAGAGTTCTTCTGTAACTTTGTCAGCGACATACAGCCTGCACACTGACGACTTGGTCACAGCTGAGACAGATCTTGACACTTCTGAAACAACCTCAGGCTTAAACGTTTTTTTTGCTACCAAAGGTCGGTGAAACATGTAGACAAAACCCTGAGAAACACTGGAGTCGCATTATGAGTTTTTTTTGTTTTTTTTTACTAGTATCGACAGATTTATGAGCGAGTGATTTATGTAGAAAGGTTTTTAGGCATTTTCACACATGCACAAAACTCCTGAAAATGTCAGCAGTGAGCCGCAAGTTCAAACGCAAACTGTCGATTTTAAAAAGTTTTTTGTTTTTCATTTAGAGACAGGACAGCGGATAGAGTCAGAAATCAGGAAGACCACTCCGCTGCCGGCATCCTAAACTGTCGATTTTTAAAACCTGACTATGTCTGAACTTTTCCTGGCAGCTCTTTTTGTAAAACTTCCAGGTGAAGTTGTAGTGAGTCGGACACAGCAGGAAGTATTTAGCAAAATGAAGAGGAAGAGGTGTGATGGCTGTGATCTTCCTACACGTAATGAAGCGGCTTTTTCTGCTCACTTGCTACTTAAATCTTGTTATGCTCATTCGTTGACACCCGACAGACGCCCGGTTACATGTAGTAGCGCCTCCTCCTCTTCCTCCTTATCCTTTTCCTCTACCACCTCCTCCTCCTCTCCCTCCTCCTCACGTCCAACAGGGAAACTTGACCCCTTGTTGAGCGTGTGTGAAACAGCTTCAGCGGCGTGCTGTCAGATGTGAAAACCTCTTCATGGTCACTGATCTGTATCCCATCACAGGTTTAGTCTTCTTAAGTTCACGTTCAGACGATGGGCAGTTTTATAAAGCACACAGATTTATGATTCAATACCGTTTTTTTTAAGTTTGAGGAGGGTTATTAGCGGGCAGTGAGTGGTGGGCGGGGTCAATATCAGGTTATGTTTGGTATTAACTGTTGAAACTGTGATGAGCTATGGTATGAAAGTGTTTCACTGGTTTTGTGTGTTTGTGTTGTCTGATTAATGTGTGTGTCGGTCAGTGTTTCAGGCCGTCACTGGAGATATCTCAAGTTTTAAAGTAAGGTTAAATTTGACCGTCTCTCTCCATGTACCGGACGATAAATGGTTTTTATACTTATTGACGATGAGTTTGGGGAAAGTTCTCGTCCAGCTCTTCAGACTAAAGTTCAAACTTCTGGACAGGCTGTGACCATAACTGAATTTTTAACTTTAATACAAAACAAAAAGTCGACGCCTGTTTCAATAATCTGCCATTGTTTTCATGTTTTCTCGGTGATACTTCCTTGAAGAAACACGGCGCTTACCGTCACCACAGAGGCGAGTAGAAGTCTATTTCCAATCACACAGACGCGTCGCCATCGGCTCAGCTGTTCTTAAAAAACGCCTGAGTGCGTCTCAGCTGGGAGCGCCTGCGTGGTCATGCAGGCAACCAAATAAAATAAATGGGAAAAGTGGAACTCTCGCTGTTGCTTTGCTTCTAGATGAGGAGGGAGAATGATGTCATGCAAACCGGAGGTAAACCCTCCTCCTTGATTTTGATTGGCTGCTTTCACCAAAAGTGACAGTGACGAGAAAATAAATAATTCCATGCGTGACAAAAAAAAGCGTCCAATAGCAATAGAGAAGAGCGCCCGGCAAGCGTGTCTCTGTGTGATCAGTCGGTAAAGGTCACTACCGAGGGGAGTAGAAATTAACTATCGTAACCTAGCAACAAAAAAGTTAAATGAAAAGCGCTCTGAATCTGAGGTCGTAAGCGCTGCCTGTGCAAGAAAAAGGCGTTAGTGGGAACAGACCCTGAAGACGCTGTAGCGTCAATCAATTTGACGACCTCACAAGGCTGATTCTCATCCCATCACACTGTTGATTCATCGTCCAATCAAAGCCTCTGTAGCAGCTGAAAGGCAACCAGGTGTTTGTGTCGTTGGAAAACGTGTCGGACATTTCTTTAACGTTTTGTCTTCGTGTTTTTTATGTAAGATTGTATGTTTTGTTTAAAAAAAGACTGCGCACTGTAACGAAGGGAAACCCACTGAAATTTGTACTTCAGAGATTTAGAAACCCGTCGAGCCCTTTACGAGTTTAAATATAGATTTCTTTATTGAATAGAGAGTGAAGGATGTTCGCTGTACATGCTAGATTTTATTTTTTGTTGTTGCCTTTTTTCTCGTCTCGTCATTCAGAATGATTAGCTGAGTGGTGTGAAGGTCAAACTGAACACAAAGACAGAAGTTGGTCTCTGTGTTTCTTAAATCCACCGTTTTGGATTTTTAATTTATTAAAAATGAAGTGAGGCCTTTGTGGGGGGGGGGGGGGGGTTTGAAGTGAACTGGCTCTCAAATCGCGGCAGCTCGTCTGAAGATGTAAAAGTTTTCCTCGTTTCAAACTTTGTGAAGGACAGAAAATCTGTGATTGTTGTGTAATTATTTCAATGCGATGTTTCATGTAAATAAAATGTTTCTTTTTATAATAACACTCGTTGACTTCTTCACAACACGACATGCAAACTGTAGAAATATATAAAACTTGAAAATATGTACAAGCTTTTTAAAATTCACAACATGAACACTCTGAACAGAAGAAAGAAACGAAAACTGTGCAGCAAGATCTGTAAAACAGACGTGATGCCACAAACGCAACAGAAGGAAACTTTAAAAAACAGATGCCTCTTTGGCTTTAAATATGGAGAACTGGACCGCTCCTGAAGGCACCGCAGCTCTCCGACATATTTTAGTTTAACCTTTAAAACTCACAGAACTGAACACGTCTGCTTCGTAGCTAGCTTTAGCTCGAGGTCCCCGTTCACACACACCCTCCTGAGTGGAGACGGACGTTGTGACATCACTCTGTATCGTGGCGTGACAAAAGCAGCTTGAGCAGTTGGTCCGTAGCGCTGCAGCTCGACGGCTCGTCACCGCCAAGAAACAGGAGCCTGAGGTAGGAGCCCTGAGGAACCTCACACATGATCCTGGAAGAAACACAACATATATACTGTAATTTTAGTAATCACACACTGAGGATCTTCCCCTAGCAAGCATTTTCTACTGAAAAGCCGTTCAGAATTTTGGTTTTTCTCATCGAGTATTTAAAAACGCTGATCAAAACTTCATGTTTACAGTTTTCTTAGACAAATTCCCATACAGATTATTGGCGACTGTCGAGTCATATCTCATTAAAATGCTGCTTCTCTCCTCTTTTACATCAAATCAGCTCTTAAAGCTCCCTATTTATGGTGCTTGTATTTAAATATAAAACTGGTTGAAGCTATGTTTGTGTTGATGGGATTTCAGCCAACGTTGCAAAATGGTATTGGAAAAATGCAGCTAAAGTTATTATGTTAGCAGTTGTATGTGCTAGCAGTTAGTAGTTTATGCGCCACATGTACAGAGGCTGTTGTGATCGGACTAGGCGATCAAGTTTCGGTACAAAACAACTGAAATGTCAATTCCTTCTCTCTCTCATCAAAATAAATGATAATACGAAACCTTCAAAACTAAAATGAACAAATCATCAGTTATAAGGCGAAGTCACCTTTTCTAACACGCTGATGTTAACATCGTATTTCTAGCCCGTTTAAAAGAGGTCTTGGGTGCACCCACTTCAAATCCTGTTTCATCTAAATGTCCTCCTTGAAATCCTGCTCAAGGTTCACTGGGTCTGTTTTACACTTTAACATGTGAATCAATAGTTTTGACCACTTGTCATGGACGTCTCTCCTCCTATTAAAGCAAATAAAATGAACTGTAACTCAGTGTTACCAGTCGTAGATGTCCTCTGTGTTGGTGTCAGGGAACACCTGCACCCACTGACCGATGGACCACACCCTCAGGACGTCACCATCTGACGCACTTTGGCTTTCCCCGTCAGCGTCTGCGTGTGAGTTTGGAACATCCTCACAGCACAGGAAGTAACTGAGGGAAACATAAGAGCGTTCATATCAGCATCAAAACAAACATTTATTTTGATAAATTCGTAAAAAAAAAAAAAAAAAGTAGAAATGAGAAGATGTTGTTCAGACTCACTACTCCATGTCATCAACTGGTTCTTCCTCTCTCTCCTCCCCGTCTTGTTGGAGCGGCTGGACGTCCTCTCGGAGTCTCTCCACGTTCCAACGCATTCGTTTGTACACACCCGTGTCCACCCGGGACAGGTACGGCATCAGCTTACAATAGCGAAACACGGTGAGCCTCAGCCAACCGAGCTGACTCTGACCGATGCAGAAGTGAGAGATGCTGTGAGGCGGAGAGAGTTAAAAAGTAAAAAAAAAAGAAAAGAGAAGTTAGATTATTCAAGCAGAGGCAGTCAGGATTCTGGAAATAGAAATGAAGCAGAAACATTGTTACTTTGATCTATGATGGGGGAACTACAAAGCCTCAAAATATTTACAAGCCTATGTAAATACACTCTGCCTCCTTAAGTCATTCATGACTTTTTATTTAACCAGGAAAATCTACTCTTTGAGATACAAGATCTCTTTTTAAGAAGAGTCCTGGCAAAGACAGCAGCATCAAAGTTTCACACAGAGAACAAAGACAGATGATAAACAAATCAGAGTGTGAAGCAGAGAAACACATGCATACATTAGTCAAATTATTCTTTCTTCTATCGTCCAAGTCGACTAGATGCTCTAGTTCCAGGTGACTCTGCAGCTCAGACCAAGACGATGGAGCAAACACACTAAAAGCATTTCCACCAAATACAGATTGAGTTCAGGGAATGACATGATGAGAGCTTTAGGAATCACCAGCCGCCAGCTTGAACAGAGGTATCACATGTTTCAGGCTATCAGCCCAGGGAAATTTAGAGCTAAGATCCACCATAGACAATCTGATAAATAAGAGAGTCTGACCAACTCGAGCAGGAGGACAAAGGACGGTATATACAGGACGTGCAAAACAGAGCGAGGTAAGCAGTCAGAGGCCAAGCCGAACACAGAGCAGAAACGTGCTCAAACTAGGATCAATATTGGAGATGCTTTTGAAAAATGGAGAGAGGTTAGAACACAGAAAGGTTTACAGACCCATGCAGAGCTGGATAAACACTGAAGCTTCAGAGTCCACCACATGGTGACCTGAGTGAGCATCCACTCTAGAGAGGAGGAGGGGAGACAGCTCTCTAATGTTTTGAATTTGGACTGCAGTACACATTTTAACCACTAGGTGTCAGAGTTACATATTGAACCTATAAAATCACATTTTTACGACTGGAAAGTTGATTTATAGGAAACATAATGCTGCACAACTTATTCAAAGCCCCCCAAAATAAATAACACCAAAGGAAATCAGCAAGTAATCCTGATTTTCTGGACACTTTTTAGAAGTATTCTGTAAATATGTGTGTAACGTGTGTATTTCCTCAGAGTGTGTTTGTGTGTGAGTACCTGTTAGACTCTGCGTCGTCAAAACAGATGAGATTGTAGCTGGCGCAGGTCAACACCAGCTGCTCCAACCTGTCACACAGCTGCTGAGAGAAGTCCAACAGCTGCACACACACACACACACACACACACACACACACACACACACACACACACACACACACACACACACACACACACACACACACACACACACACACACACACACACACACACACACACACACACACACACAGACAGAAAAAGTCAAACAGCACGTTCTGCTCGCAAAATCTTTTAACCGCAATGCATGATGGTATATATTGCTTGGACAGTGGCCATCAGTTGTACACTACTTGTCACAATGCATTGTGGGATACATTGAGTTGTCTATATAGGGTACGACAATGCTCACTCAGAAATTCAGACACCACTACAAAAAGTATTTCTGACACAGCCATCGTCTTTTTAAAAAAATGGGTGAAAAATATTTACCCTGGTGTGGATCTCAAAGGGCAGAGAAGTGTGGGGCGACGCATTCTTCCTCGCCATGGATTCCACGTAGTTAAAGTACGGCTGACAGGTGAACAGAAATCTTTGGACTTCTTCAGTGGGGCTCTGACTTTCTGGATCACATTGTCTGTAAAATCACACGCAGGAAAAACAACATGTGGGTTTGTAAGACATTTGTATTCAACGTAGGGATGTAGAGATGAATCGCAAAATCAAGATAAATCGATTCAAAGGTGTCAAGATTCACATCGATACTCTGAAAAATGAAGCTCAGTAACACGGTGAGCACCAGCAGCTGTAGAGCAGAGGCGGTTGGCAGCTGCAGAGCAGGATTTAGAAATTGAGGACGTGCGGTGTGGAAGAATTTTGGCTTCCCCGAGACAGAAAATGAAAGAGGTGAGAAGATAACAGACAGAAACTGTGTGCAAATATTACAAGACAGAGAACTACACAAATAGAACAACCAACATGATGCAGCATTTAATCAGCACCACGACGAGAAGCTCCAATCACCTCCACTTGTTGAGAGAAAAAAACACACTGACAATCGGGTTAGCAGCCCCTAAAGCAGAGGTGTCCAAACTTTTTTTCTTGCGGGCCAAAATTGTCGTGTTAGAATCGCTCGCGGGCCACAGGTTTTGTTTTTTAAAATATAGTTGAAAAAATAGTAAAGCTTTGTAGATCAGAATCAAAAGGCTCGCTAAAGAAACCCTTTAATAAAGGAAATCAAATATTTAGATTTCTCCGTTCTACTTTATTTGTTTTTTTCTCAGAATCAAGCCTGTAACGTGGTTTATTCAGCTCAGGTCATTAAATGGTTAAACAACAGTCCGCTTGTTTGCAAAAACTTTGCATATGTTTTTTTTCATAATTTACAAAAAAATGTGGAAAATAGTAAAAGCTGTAGATTTAAAAAAACAACAACAACATACATGTTACTGAACATTCTCTATTTTAGGACTATTGTTTAGCCCTTGTTAACATGAAAAAGAAAAATAAGATAATGTGCCAATCTTAATCGAGGCCTCGGGCCAAAATCTTCTGATTCTTCATTTGAAGTCACGGGCCGCAAAAAATCCTCTCAAGGGCCGCAAATGGCCCTCTGGCCGCACTTTGGACACCCCTGCCCTAAAGGAATCTTTTTCAGTCATCATTTGTCTACAGTCTCGTTTTGTTAAATAAAGTGTAAGATAATCGTATCATGAGTTGAGTGAATCGTTACATCCCTGATATTCTTCAAAAAGATTGAAATATAAAAAAAAGGATCCTAAAGTAAGAACACTTCAGGTAACATTGGTGCATATTGAGTCTCCGGCTCTGTACCTGTTGATGAGGAGGTCGTCTAAGTAATCAGCTTTGCCCAAGAGGAACTGGAGCTGCAGCTGCATGGACTGCAGGCCCCTCTCCAGCTGTCTGACCTCCACACAGCTGCAGGACGCGTCATCGCCACAGGGGGGCAGCAGAGCGACGTCGGCCAACAGCAGCAGCGTCTCCTTCATCTCTGAAGAGCAAAACCGTGAAAAGTTCATTATCCCCCTTTATGACAAAAACACACAAATATACCAAATCAACAGACGTGTGGGGTGATCAGATGTCTTAGTTAAAGATATTACATTACATGTGGCTAAATACAGTTTTAAAAAGCATTCAAGGCTCCATATTGGAGCACCTTGACCGGCGTGTCGCAGACTCTCCTCCCCGCTCATAACGTCCCTCAGGCCCGCAGACTTACGGTCATCTACCGCTGAGTTTGAGGTGAGCTGGACATCAACCTGAACTTCAATATCGGTCATACTTCCGTCTGTGGGAAAGCTTAGTCACCTGTGGAAAGTTAAACTCTTCACTAACCGGGTTATTTAGGAGCTTTTAAACACGCAATGACCCGAAAACCGACCGTTTGTTTATCCGTTAAAGTTAGCATCGCGCTAGCTTTAACGTTAGCATCGAAGATTTAGCCAAGAAATCAACCTGAGAAACCTGATTCCTACGGCTACTTACGATTTGTATCGAGTGTTTCCAACAAAACAGTTAATATAACAACATTATTATTGTATTATAATCGTTTAAATAACGAAAATAGCTAATTTGGACTTCCTGTCGTCAACGGTCGCTCGCTGGTGTGAGGCGTTCAGGTGTCAAAGTTCAACACGGAAAAACAACAACAAATAACGATTTATTATTTTATATTTGTATTTTTTTAGGACCTGAAGTACTAAAACACGCACATATTCTTTAGGAAACATGCAAAATTATCTTTTTTTTTTTACTATTTATTATTATTAGTATTAATAATAATAATTTGTGAGAGATGAGAGCAGCCCTTCCGGTCTTGATTTAAAGGGGGTTGGTCATTTCTCCAGATACACTTTTCAAGATTTTGGTTTAAATTGTCTTTAGGTCCTGACAGAAATGAATAAATATAAAGATAAAGGTAAACTTTATTGATCCCCCATGGGGGAAATTTTTGCATTACAGCAGCTCAAGAAAACAGGAAGCAGGAATAAAATTATTAAAAATAAAAATAAAAATAAACATATGTACATCAGTTAAATAAAGTCCGAAAAAATACAATAATAGAATAATAACTCATGTGCTCTGAAAAAGGAACAAAGAAAATCCATCATCTGTAGCAGTCTGTAAAAACTTTGACCAATGTCTGCCATGAGGTACCAATCTGATGAACCAATCAGACGCCTCCCTGTCTCCCTGCTCGTTCTCTACCTCTTGCGTGTACTAGCTCACACTCAAAACGTTTATACTGTGAGTTCACTTACTATCTTTACTTAGTGTATTCTGTCTTTTCTTGGTCTCAGGCCTGGGCAGATTTTAAATCAAGACCAGCACTGACAGGCGGTCAGACTTGGTCTCGTCTCTGTCTACCATAACTTGTGGGAAACAAGACAACACAATAAAAGGTATATAAGAACATAAAAATGAATTTATACAATTAAAACTAAGATTTCAGACACAAAAATGACAATTCTAAGTTCAAAGTGTAAGATACATTCGAAGCTTGATCCAAAGGCAACTGGACTCGGTTGAAGATAAACCGCCTTTGGATCAAGTTTAATGAATTCATGAATTAATCAGCATGACCTGGATGACTGAGAACCTACACAGACTTTTCATGAATCAGGATTATCATTTCAACACATCTACAAACTGATGAAATACTTGAGGGTTCATTGGTTTTATTCACACTGTTTTATCGTCTCTACAGTTGGTTCATACTCAGGTCTGACTTCTGTCATCAGCTGGGATTCTTTGTGCAGATTTTCATGTGTGTGTGTAGTCGTGTTTATGCCGGAGCCGTGCGTGTGACTCTCTGCTCCTATCTTTCTGCTGGCTCATTTTCATCATGCAAATCAGATATGCATGACTCAGTTTAACGTCACATCAGATCTACAACAGACCATATCATCATGTACCTTATCATGAGACAGCCTCTTTGTTGAGAGAGTTTAACCTCATCGGAGTATGTTTTTAAAAGGCTACCTATATATAATATGGATGATCGGTATCAGTACCTTTTATCAACGCCAATTTACACACACAAACACATGTTTACATGATATAAAACATCTAACGGTCTAATAAACTCAAAATTAGAAAAGATAATGACATCTGTCCCACCCAAATGTTTACCAGTTGTTGTTTTGTATTACCGGAATATTATTTACATTATTAATTTGAATTATTACTATTTTATTTTACTTATATTACTATTATTATCATGACACTATGAATTAATAAGATAAGATAATCCTTTATTTATCCCACAGTGGAGAAATTTACATTGTTACAGCAGCAAAGAGCCAAGAAAAAAGAGCAGTACAATTTAGATAAAAAAAGAAAAATTAAGAATGTAGAAAAAATAGATACTAAGAAATAGATTTAAAAAAATAAAAAATAGATCAGCTTTTTGACAAAAAGTGTAGTCCATAATATTCTGTGTAACACAGACATACACACAGTGCACATAAAGTGTAACATGTAATAATAATATTATCATGACTCTTCTTTTGATTATCACTCGTGCTGCTGTTTTTGTTGTTAAAAAAATGCTTTGGTGATATTGTTTTTATTACATTCATGCCAATAAAGCATCTTGAATTTCATTTTAAATGAAATTACCGTAATGGTTTGAATACAACACGATGAAATGTGACTGAAAATAGTGTGTTGGTCTTACATCCGGGACATTACGGTACTTTAAAACTTTTACTCAGAAAGTTTAATTCGGTTTAATTACTTTAACAAGTTTAGCTGTCTCCCCCTCCTGTTGCGTTTACGTATCAACAGGTGGTTCATTAAAAGTAACAGCACAGGCAACGTAAGCTGGTGGGGGGTCATGTGACACATCCGGGCGCGCTCTCGCCACCCTGGACCAATGAACGGCCGGGCGTCGGGAGCGCGCATGGGCAGAGTGTAGCTGCGCCGTCAGTTAGTTTACTGTTTGAATGTGATGAGCTGCAGACCCGGTACCGGAACGACGAGCGGGGGTCTTTTGTGTGTTTGGACCTCAGCTAGCGGTGTGAAGGACTGACAGGCGGCTTTTTGTGTGAGTGTGTGTGTGTGTGTGTGTGTGTGTGTGTGTGTGTGTGTGAGAGAGAGTGTGTGTGGCATGTGATACAGACAAGAGGCTGAGGCGTGTTCATGTCTCACGGACGTTACCGGGAAAAAGAAAGGAGGAAAAGAGGACGAAGAAGAAGAGGCTTTCTTTCGTCTCGTCCTGCGTGTGGATGTGACCCGGGTTCATGACGACATGACGGAGCAGCCCTGCCTGTGGATTTTAAGGGGCTCATGCTAGTTGTTGAACGGCTGTCCAATTAAACGAACAATGACTTAGAGCGCAACATTTTTTTCGTGCGGACCGTGAACGCATCTTCATTCTGTGGCTGAAGCTGGTTAAACACATTAAAAACGCGCAGGGTGGATCAGTTCAGGCGCGGCCAGGAGAGCCAACAATGCGGATTACCCTCTTGACTATTTGCCTTTGTGTCAAGACAGACTGCGTGAAGTTGAGATAAGCCTCACAGGGAGACATATCTGGATCATTAATTGTATTAAATAGTCTTTGGGAATAAGGAGACAGTGCCTTGACGTGCAGTGCAAACCCCACATGTGCACAGGTTGACTGTGAACCAGCAAACTGACTGAAAAAGGAGCAACAGGGACAACCATGGCGAACGACTCCATTCAAGTAAGAATGATGAATATGATAAATGTCTTGCATCCTGCTGCTGTTGTTGGATATTATTGACTTCCTTCCTGAGCTGGCTCTGGGCCATTTCTCTGACTTTTCCCCTTTTTATGTCAGACCTGAGATACATACTTAAAACAAGTGGTTTACAACTTTTGTTGAGCATCAAAATGTAGTTTTGACCCCGCCTTACATTGCCCCTTTCCTTGGATATTCTTAATAATTTAAGAGGGTAAAAGTGTGGTCGTTCACAAGCAAAAATGAAAGATCTAACAAAATATATAAGCATTGAATTATTTAACTGTAATGCATTGTGACCCTCAAATTGGATACTGTCTCCAAAATTGGAAACACCCGGTTTGAACCACAGCTTCATTTGGACATTATAATGTGTAGGACTGTTATCACAATACCAGAATAGTGAAAATCAAACCATTTAGTTACATGTTACCATACAATTGCAATGAATTTGAGAAGTCCGAGGAACTAATAATTGGGAATTTCTTGTTGTTATTACCCCAAATTTGCAGTCAAACTCCTGACAAACTTCTTGCGGCAGATTTTTATAAAATTTATGACTGAAGATCTGTAGTTTTTATTCCTTTTGATACCATTTATTACTAAAATAACAGATCTTGTATTGATTTAAAACATTAGATATCGGAGCGTATCGGAGAGAGTCAAAATTTTGGCAAACTTAATCTCGTTTGGGTAAAAGTGCCATTAACAGGACTACCTGTTGATGCCTCTACTTCTGTTGGGTGAAATATTCCAGATTTAAATCCGAGTGTCTCCTCTGAGGTGTCCCAGGAAGCTTCAGTGACCCAGGACACCGCTGTGAGGAACCCCAGCCACTTAGTTGAATTAGAAATGGATAGTTTGTCTCGTGTTAATAATGTATGATGGGGCACACGCTCTGGTTTTTGGAGAATTTATCTTTGCAGAGCGCTCGAGCCGTGGTCCTCACGACATTTTACCATGATGTCCTTTAGTCCGGCTGCGTGCCTCCAAAGTGTTTGTGTGTGGTGATACAGAGAGTAGAAGCAGGTTCACACAGGCACAATAGTGGTTGTTTGTTGTTAAACAACGCACTTTACACACACACCATTCCCAACTCCCATGAGACGTTGTTTGTTCATCAGCGCAGAAGCAAACAGAAAGACGGCTAACCTTGCTATTTTAACAGGGTACTGTAGGTGTGTGCTCAGGTAGAAGATCATTTACTTAAATCTAGCATAAAGGCTGAACAACAGTCGGTCCTCAGTCTTCTCTTCAAAGTCATGTAAGAGTGACACTATCAAGTTAAACTTCTTCTTTATATTTATTGCATTAAAGATCAGGGAAGTATGTTGTGTCAGCTGTAAAGTTGTC